TATTTAGATTTTTAATTTTGGGTCCTGTTTTTTAAATTGGTCTACATTAAGGTCCAAAGGGTCCAAAATTAAACTTAGTTTGATTTCAACAAAAATTGAATTCTTGGGGTTCTATGATATGCTGAATACACGGTTAGATTTGGCATATCAAAGAACCCCAATAATTCAATTTTTGATGAAATCAAACAAAGTTTAATTTTGGATCCTTTTGACCTTAATATGAACTAATTTGATAGCGGGGCCCACAAATAAACAATCTAAATACATGGTTAGATTCAGCATATCAAAGAACCCCATATATTCAATTTTTGTTGAAATCAAACAAAGTTTAATTTTGGACCCCAATTTGGACCAACTTGAAAACTGGGCCCATAATCAAAAATCTAAACACATGTTTAGATTCAGCATATCATAGAACCCCAAGAATTCAATTTTTGGACCCTTTGGACCATAATGTAGACCAATTTAAAAAACAGGACCCAAAATTAAAAATCTAAAAACACGGTTAGATTTGGCATATCAAAGAACCCCATATATTCATTTTTTGATGAAATCAAACAAAGTTTAATTTTGGACCCCAATTTGGACCAACTTGAAAACTGGGCCAAAAATCTAAAATCTAAATACATGTTTAGATTCAGCATATCAAAGAACCCCATATATTCAATTTTGGATCCTTTTGACCTCAATATGAACTAATTTGATAGCGGGGCCCACAAATAAAAAATCTAAATACATGGTTAGATTCAGCATATCAAAGAACCCCATATATTCAATTTTTGTTGAAATCAAACAAAGTTTAATTTTGGACCCCAATTTGGACCAACTTGAAAACTGGGCCCATAATCAAAAATCTAAACACATGTTTAGATTCAGCATATCACAGAACCCCAAGAATTCAATTTTTGATGAAATCAAATTAGTTTAATTTTGAACCCTTTGGACCTTAATGTAGACCAATTTAAAAAACAGGACCCAAAATTAAAAATCTAAATACACGGTTAGATTTGGCATATCAAAGAACCCCAATAATTCAATTTTTGATGAAATCAAACAAAGTTTAATTTTGGACCCTTTTGACCTCATAATGAACTAATTTGATAGCGGGGCCCACAAATAAAAAATCTAAATACATGGTTAGATTCAGCATATCAAAGAACCCCATATATCCAATTTTTGTTGAAATCAAACAAAGTTTAATTTTGGACCCCAATTTGGACCAACTTGAAAACTGGGCCCATAATCAAAAATATAAACACATGTTTAGATTCAGCATATCATAGAACCCCAAGAATTCAATTTTTGGACCCTTTGGACCATAATGTAGACCAATTTAAAAAATAGGACCCAAAATTAAAAATCTAAAAACACGGTTAGATTTGGCATATCAAAGAACCCCATATATTCATTTTTTGATGAAATCAAACAAAGTTTAATTTTGGACCCCAATTTGGACCAACTTGAAAACTGGGCCAAAAATCTAAAATCTAAATACATGTTTAGATTCAGCATATCAAAGAACCCCATATATTCAATTTTTGATGAAATCAAACAAAGTTTAATTTTGGACCCCAATTTGGACCAACTTGAAAACTGGGCCTAAAATCTAAATACATGTTTAGATTCAGCATATCAAAGAACCCCATATATTCAATATTTTATGAAATCAAACAAAAAGTTTAATTTTGGACCCAAACTGGGACAAACTTGAAAACTGGGCCCATAATCAAAATTAGTTCATATTGAGGTCAAAAGGATCCAAAATTAAACTTTGTTTGATTTCATCAAAAATTGAAATATTGGGGTTCTTTGATATTCCAAATCTAACCGTGTAAATAGATTTTTAATTTTGGGTCCCGTTTTTTAAATTGGTCTACATTAAGGTCCAAAGGGTCCAAAATTAAAATTAGTTTGATTTTAACAAAAATTGAATTCTTGGGGTTCTTTGATATGCTGAATCTAAACATGTGTTTAGATTTTTGATTATGGGCCCAGTTTTCAAGTTGGTCCAAGTTGGGGTCCAAAATTAAACTTTGTTTGATTTCAACAAAAATTAAATATATGGGGTTCTTTGATATGCTGAATCTAACCATGTATTTTGATTTTGGACATTGGACCATAATAGGTAAATTAAAAAAATTCAAATTCTTAGACCACATTCTTTCTGTGTCAAAAACCTATGCTGTGTCAAATATTTAATCACAATCCAAATTCAGAGCTGTATCAAGCTTTAATGTTGTGTCCATACTTGCCCCAACTGTTCAGGGTTCGACCTCTGCGGTCGTATCAAGCTGCGCCCAGCGAAGCATTTTATTTAATGAATAAAACCCCATAACTCGGAACTGTAAAATCTAAAATTTATAAAATTCTAAATGGAGCTTACATCAATAGATATCAACAATTCATCAAAGTTTCATGAGAACTGCTGAAAGCATTTTTGAGTTATTGTCCGAAAACTGGAAAATCCCCCCTTTTTTTATGAATAAAACCCCGTAACTTGGAAACGTAAAATCTAAAATTTATAAAAATCAAAAGGGAGCTCATGTCAACAGATATAAACAATTAACCAAAATTTCTTGCAAGTTGGTGAAAGCATTCTTGAGTTATTGTCCCAAAACTGGAAAATCCCCCTTTTTTTAATGAATAAAACCCCATAACTCGGAAACTTAAAATCAAAAATTTATAAAAAAACGAAAGGGAGCTCACGTCAATAGATATAAACAATTCAATAAAGTTTTATGCAAATTGATTAAAGCGTTTTTGAGTTAATGTCCGACATGTTGACGACGGACGGACAACGGTATACCATAATACGTCCCGTAAACGGGCGTATAAAAACTTTCAGCATTATAAGATCCACAATTTATAAGTCAACATGGCAGAAATTGTCAATCAATTTCTTATAGAAGTTATTTCCCACACCCAAGTGCTGAATTTTACTCATTTTTTGCATTTTGGCAAAAACTATAGTAGAAGGAGAGAAACGTTCAAAGGCAAAATAATAATAGCAAAATGGCATATCTTTACCCTGTAAGTGATTCAGGCTCTTCGGCGCCTAGCTCTTGTTTGATCAACTGATGAGTAATAGACAACTATATTTTGAATATCTGAGAATCACTGCATGTCCGTTAGTCAGGGGTACCTGGCCTTTACTTATTACATAGATCAGTGATTAACGTTGAGTTTTCACAATTCTATTGGTAATAGCTAAAAAAAACAGAAAATTAGTAAAAAATTGTCAATTAAGGGCAATAACTCCTGTAAGTATTTATCTGAAAGTTTTGGTGAAATAGGAAGTAGGCAGATCTTGGCATTCTGAGCATGTTTGCCCCTGTCAGACTTTCTCTATCTATATGGTTTTAAAGATTTAAGACAATGCATGCATTTTACTCTTATGTAATATTTTTTTCACCATGGCTGCCATGTTTGTTGATAAGACAGGAATAAAAACACAAACTTTATAAATGAGATACTCTATGGATCATTCATCCAGTTTGGTTGAAATTGGTTTGAAAGATTCAACGGAGAAGATATTAGAAAAAGTGTACAACAATGGACCCCAAGTGATGGCAATAGCTCCCATGGCCCGCGCATTGGGCCAGGTGAACTAAAAATAAATATGTAATTAGGGGTTAAATGGTCTATAGCAATTGGCTATACTGCATTCACTTTCTTTGTCCATCAAACAAAAAATTCTGACAAACTCTTCTTTTAACTATTACTTAACAGAATAACTTCATATTGTCAACAGCTTGACAGTGATGAGTTGTAACCTGAGTAAACTGTCTGCACTCTGGATCTGTCAGACAACGACTTCCATTTGCTGATACTTTCAAGATTTTAATATGATAAACATGTTGAAATAAACTTAAAATTTTTGTCACATATTTCTTAAGCTTGTACTAATAGAACAGATTGACTTCATATTTTAATAATTAGAAACTAAACAGTGATAAGTTGTAATGTGTAAGCGCTTTCTGTCAGACATCTACTTCCTGTTTTCTGATACTTTTGAATCAAATTTAGGGAATACTTGGCATGGCAATGTGTGCAGTCTTGTGTCATCTATTTTCAGTAATGGGGGCAGCTATAACTAATGGTAATTGGGGTCAATATTAACAATTTTAAAAGACACAAATATGACTATCATGTATGTACTTTTGATACTATAATGCAAAGGTTGAAATTAAAATAGAAATACTTGAAAACTATTCAAAACATTCAGTCAATAAACCATGATTGAGGGTTTGGGACCACTTAATTTCAATGGAAAATGAGACGTGCAGATCTTAATACAAATACATTAACAATTATCAATTACCATAAGTGGTTCATCTTACACTGACCTAATCACAAACTTTAAATGTTAAAACTAAGCAAAGTTTCACAGTCAAAAGACCATGACTGAGGGGCAGGGCAAATTTATATCCATGGAGATAAAATGAGTCAATGCTAATACAACTGCATACCAAATATCATTGACCTTCCACTTTTGGTTACCCTCAAACTGACCTAATCACAAAATAATACATTGTTGACTCTAACATCGCCATCACCTTACATTTGATTTGATTTTTGGTGTTTTAACACCACTTTCAGCATTAATCGGCTAATTCTTGGCGGCCTGATGGTATTGGTGAGAGATTTGAGGAAGCCAGAGAGAACCATAACTTTTGGTAGGAAAACTGGCAATCCTAGTCAATTAAGATTGGAGTCTAACGCTCCTGCCACCTGTGGGGCTTGAACAATCTCAGTGACGAGTGTTGACATGCTAGCGGTTCAGTAGGTGAACTACTTAGACTGCTCAGTCATCGAGACCCCTCCCCCCAATTACCTTAGAAACAGCATGCTATCAAATGATTGTTACAAACTGGCCAAAATTTGTCAGAATTCTTTTTATACTAAGAGAACAGGTTATCCTGGTAGGATAAAATACTTGTTAGAACTATAAATATCAAGTACCTACTTACTGAAAAGGCAACATAACTAAGACAGTAATATAAATCTTATATATTTTAATGTCATTGTAAGTATATCTGATAACAATATAATATACATAAATATATATATATATCAAAATTATCTTTCTTAGCATTTAATTATTGCTTACAAGAGTAACATAATTAAACAATGTGAGACAAAATCATGTGTTCTGATAATGGATAAACTAGTGAGATTTTCTTACCTATGAGAAAGAGTAACAACTAAATGTAGGATATAATGTATACATAAATGAGTTAGCAACCCAACAATACAAAAAAAGTAAAGTCAGTAAAATGGAAATATATCAGAAAAAAATAGTTTTGATAATTTTTGAACCAGCTAGAATTATCTACAAAGCACGACAAATACCCCACTGCTCAAATGTTTCATGAACATCTGATGATGCAATTAGAAAGAGATGCATCAACAATGTGTTTACTGAGGAATTATAATTACAAAGGGGCATAACTCTTGGATTTGTCAACAGACCAGTCCCTACTAAGTTGCATGTTGAAACATCATAAAAATAAGGAGATGAATTACGATTGCCAATGAGACAACATGCATGTTTAAGGCATTCAGATTTTGGATTGTTTACACATGATTTCTTGTATTATTTTATATCATCATAATAGCAAAAGCAGTTCGGATAATAAAAATATTCTAAATTCAAAGGGGCATCACACTAATGTGCATCTTCAATGTAAAAGTTTCATGATAATTTGATGAAGTTAATGTAGTATGTGTCTCAAACTTTTAAAATATTCTTACATTTAGGGGGTCATAATTTCAGAAATACTCTAAGAGAGAACAAAATCCTTCATGATTCAAAATTGATACATCATAATCTATAATTGCATGAAGGTAAAATTATTACATAAATGTTTGTGGAAGTATAAACAAATAAAATCTCAAAAACAAAAACTGATCTGCAAAAATTCTTTCGAACCTGACATAATAAATTATTGAGATTCATTGCAGGAAGCCATTAATACAAAGCACATGCTTAAGCCTGAGAACAACAATTTAACATTTCAGTTACAACATAGAAAAGAAACTTAATATTGTTCGTTGTATAAGTTAAGACCAGAAATAATAATTAAAGGCATATAAAATACAATGTACATGTATAATGAAATATGTAATACTAAATATATTTTTGACATCAAAATGACAATTCAAATGACTATCACATTTTCTGCAAGTTGTGGAATGATTTATATTTCAAAATTTTACTGTTAGATTTTCAAAATAAAAAAATTACAATTCCTGCTTTTTTACAGAACAAGTTATACAAAAAGCTTTATTTATTCTCGTTTCTATATTTTATCAAAAAAGAGATGAGCACAGAATTTTTTTCTGATTGATGAAACTGCTAGTCTTAACTCTTGAGACCTAAACAAACATTAAGGTTGCTGCTATACCCCTTAAAATATCTGACTTTGCAACTATTAATTACAAGCCCTTTTTCAACTTTCGTTTGGTATAGAAAGAACTCATTGAAAAAATATAAACCATTACCATACATAAGGAATTCATCACAGATGATAGGTTGTATAATTATGACGATAAACAAATCCAATGTTTACATTAAATGGAGATGTTTAGTGTGAAGATTTATCCTGCTAGTTATAGTTGTATCAAATGTCACTTATTAAAACTAGTAAACATTTATTTTAGAATTGAATCATTTTGAGTAGATTGAGATCTTGTTCAAATTAAACATGGGTGGTTGAATTATTTATAAGTGTTGGATGTATTGCAATCAATAATTACCAATGTATAAAATTACTGGCACTTCATTTCATAATATAAGCTTAATTACATTGACAAATATCTCTTTACTAGTGCAGTTTTAACATATTGGTATATTTCATCATTTGATGGAGTCTGAATCATCAAATTCAAATGAAATTCCACCTCAATGTTTTATTTTCTAACTTCCTATATGGATGGTTATTAACCTAAATTTAAAAAAAATTCTTTTTAAAATTTGCATTTAAGGATACTGAATTTAAAAATCTCAAAATTTAATTTTTCAAAGCATGTTAGAAATGACTTACACCCACACAAAAAAATATTTGGCAAAGCCAATTTTCTTACAGCTTTTATTTCAGTATTTATAATTTAAAGTATGAGGATAAATATTATCCCCTTATCTAACACAGATCCTTTCAGTTGACTAGAATTCTTTAAACAAATTCAATACACAGTAAATATTCTCTAGATAACAAATTTGAGAACTGCAACAGTTCAACTTCCAAGTTTAAAAATTCCCCGAAAACAATATTGATTTACACATTTCTGTAGCTGGTTAGGTTTGGGCTGTACCATAATTAGGGCTGCTGTAATGGAATTTATACAAAATTACACATTCATTATCCTGAGTTACATGAAAAAATTTGACACTTCTTTGAAAACCATACCACTTTTTTTCACAGATCGTATGCCTTTTAAGGCTTAATGAGGTCCATACATAACTAGTGTTTTTTTACATACAGAATGTATTATATTATTATATGGTGCAAACCTAAAAAGTTAAAATCTATACACAATTTCAAACATCAATACAAGTGCCATGTACCATTGCTTAGGTGATAAGAGTATCGATTGTAAAAAAAATACTTCAAATTAGCTCTACAGGAAATGAGTACAAGTTTCTCTTGTTCAAAGACAGCTGATATCAAAATCCTATGAATAACTACAACATCAATTTTTTTATAACTTCAAAAAATATTTAATGAACATTATCAAAAATAGCTACAGCTAAATTCACCTTTTTACAACTACAAAAAAAAATTCAATGAACAGTTGCAAAATTACACTTAAAAAGAATAACATGCAGAAGATCATGCACCTACAGATAAATAAATTCTTACGAACATTTGTAAATAAACTTAAGTAAAATTACATACTACAGACTTACCATGTGTCAAACCTGTTTGATCAAGTACTGAAGTATAAGTATACAAACGGAGTAATATATAAACAAAGAAAAAAAGCACTATATATAAATAACATTGTAACATTTTGATTTTATCACAAGTAGCCTATAAAAACTTTTATACGTATGTATTTTGGCATCAGAAAATAGCACCAGAAAAAAAGATATAAGTAACAAGCCACTAAACTACAATAAATTAATCATCTTTGGATGTGTTTTTTCTTTTCTTTTGAAGGTTTTATGCCATTTTGTATACTCTTATTGATAAAGGAAAATGGATATCTGGGAAACATCAATAAAACATTAATGAGTAACTTAGCTGACAAACTTTTTGGTGGCAAAAAAAGGGACTGCTGGGAAAAAAATATCCTTTTGTCCTGCTCCCTTCCACCATCAATTGAACTTAAGAAAAATGGAACAGCAAAAGAAAGATTAAACTACAATCATACTCAAGTCATGGTGATGATGGGCTGTTGTCTTAATAGGTAAAGATTGGAGAGCTGCACAGACCACTTAGACAGGGGTCCATAAAGTTAAAAATTTTGTATTAATATTTTAAGAAATAGTTTTACATGATAAATTAACTCTGAAGGACTTTTTCAACATATTTTCTTAGCCTATCTTTTCAATAAAGAAGAAAATCTGAGGAAGAAAACAAAACAAGACAAGACAATTTTTTACAATGATAACAAAATTGATTAATTGATTATTGGTTGCTGAACTTCACATCACTAATAAAAAGCTAATTAATTTATTGTAGCCTGAAGAAAAAAAAACAAAGAACAAACTCTGACTGGGAAAACAATTACAAGAGCATGTATCACAATCATACAAAATTTTACACAGCACACTATTAATAAAGTGTGAATTGATAGAAAGATACTTCAATAACTGATAGCACTGTCATATTGATGAGAAGATTTGGGCACTTTTTAAAAGGTATTACATGTCATATTGATGAGGAGATTTGGGCATTTTTTAAAGGTTATACATGTCATATTGATGAGGAGATTTGGGCATTTTTTAAAGGTTATACATGTCATATTGATGAGGAGATTTGGGAATTTTTAAAAGGTTATACATGTCATATCAACTACTAAATATCTACACTCAGCTAAAATAGCATATAAGGAAGCTCATTTTTTTATATGGGGTAATTAATCTCTTAAAATACACAGCAAAAACATCTTTTTCAAGATCTCAAAGGGGCAAATTCACTTCACCATCTTGCACCTCATATGACTTGTATAGAAATTTACTGAAATTATATAGACTAAATTTTATTTATATCCTTTTTTTTTTTTTATTAAAGAAGATATTAATAATAGTTTTTCTTAAGTTCATAAAATATTGTTCTGAAGACATAAATTTTGATTTATAAAGATTCTAAACAATTTGATTTATAAGGGGAGATAACTAAGATTATCTATATTTATAATTGATTGTACTGTAAATCTACTTTAAGACTTTATGTTACAATGAAACCTGTTTGATAACACAATCAATTTCCCCTTGAATTTTCTCAAAAGTGTGTAGTCTTGGAAGCAGAATGATATACATGTACTACATTTTTCAAAATATCACATAATTCTGCCATTATTTTTAATCCAATGCAAAAAATTTGTAATCATGAATTTGATTGAACGACCTTGTTAATTTTGAGGGATTAGCGGCAGATTGCATGGTCTTCAAATGTACCAGTAACTAAGGGGAGCTGCCATTTTGAATTCCAGAATTTAATGGTATGTGATAACAAAATAAGTAGATGACTCATCTGAAATTATCCTTTTCAGCAAATTTTATTTTGTTCTGAAGCATTCATTAAGCCAACAAATGTCAGGTGTTTGTGTTTGATAACTGTATAGTATTTTAAGCTTGGCCTACATTAAACCTGGTTTAACTGACACAAAAATCAATTTACCTAGCTCCACTATGTGTCCCTAGGTAAACTGAATTTCTACAGAAAAACCTATGTTACGTAGACCAAGCTTAAAATACAATACAGTTATCTCCTAAATGTTATACTCTGGTTGTGCCCATAATACCTTTAGACACAAAAATCAACTTAAAACTACTAATGGATTAAAACAGGTTCCCATTATATATACACACTATTGTATACATGATTTGTTCTATTTACAATCATCTACCATACATGTAAAATATAAGTGTGCATACAAGTTTAAAAAGCAATTTAAATTATTGTTTTAAATGAAAGGAAGTTTTGTCATAACCACATTTACCTAATGTAAATTCAAGCATTACTTTTTTGTTCAATATGTGAGCATTTAGCTTACTACATTCATTGCCAATAAAAATTGGAGGACTTGTTTCTACAAAAAACATGATTAATCATTTCATAGAAATCTTATTATAAAAACTATACATGCTATATGGGAAGAACTATCTGACATAATTATAGGAAACAAACAAATTCTGAAATTTATCTATCATGTATATTGAACCTACATTTTTTTACAATAAAAAAAAATGCAATTTAATATTTGGCAGTGGCATAAAAATCTATTCCTATTAATTAACAAGTGTTTACAAAAATATATAAAATTTGTAAAGAGTCAAAAATATATAACTGTTGTTCTTGAAATTTTTTTAACAATTAATTAATCTTAATTGTGATTTTAAGATGAATAAAATGGATTAAAAAATCTTGAATTATTTAACCACTTCTAACTTTGTATATGTATAGTCCTGCAATTTGAATGCAAATTAGACCTATGTTAAAAAAAAAAAGATGAAGTATGTTAATGGTAGATCTCTCACATTTTTATAAAATTTACAGCATATGGAACAAGTCTGATGTCATGACATTACAATGCAGTAAAAACTAATTTTTCTAAATCTTTAGAAAAATATAGCTCACATTATTGAATAATTTATGAAACAAAAAAAAAAAACGAAGCTAGTAACATTTTCCCCCTTCAAATACTTCTATTGTCCATTAAACTCAGTGTTCAGAAATAATAACATTTCATTTTAACAAAAAAATTGAAAAAGACATGATTTTGAGTTAGACAAGCTTTTTAGAAAGGTAATACTTGATCACAGTTGATGGTGTTGAAGATGCTCTAAAAAGTTGATCTTAGTTCAGTGTTTCACCACAGGTGTTCTAAGAAATCTCCTTTAGAACTGACTTCACACAATAAACCACCTATGACAACACATTAATCTGTCAGTTTTCAGTAAAAAGTGTCAGGATAAAGGCATGTTTCCCATGTTGATTGAAAGCAATGGACAATGAAAAAAGCTGGTTATGACTAACTGCTTCAAAAAACTGTAAAAACTGAACAGATAATGGACAGACAAGACCTGTCCATCTTTAGAAATGCATACCATTGCTAATTTTTCATAAAACACATCTCACAATGTGTACTTCATGTACTTAACTCTTATTTCTTAAAAATCTTCTATGCTTTTAAATTTTAAATCCTGTTAAATTCATTTAAACTGATCATATTTCTTAGTATAAATAAAATAAAATTGAGAATGGAAATGGGGAATGTGTCAAAGAGACAACAACCCGACCAAACAGCAGAAAACAGCTGAAGGCCACCAATGGGTCACACCTCAATGACCATTTCATTATTTTCATCTTGGTAAGTCATTTAAAAAATTGTTAACAAATCTAACATTGTTTTTCCAAAAATGGAAATTACAATGTAAAGGGCACTCTTGGATATAAGGCACATTTTAACTTCTTTGTCCAAACAGCTATAAACAATTAGAAAGCAAAATACTTCATACCAATTAGTTAGTAATCATAATGGCTTAATGCTTCATATATGGCTGTTCCACTTAAAGATGCAAAAGATCTAAACTTTTCGACCGTTGTTTGTTCCCCATGGGTACAATACTAAATTTTTGATTCTTTTAATACTTTTTTCTCTCCAAAACTAAATATCCAAATTAGTTGATCTTAGGAACTGAATGGGATAAATAGATTATTATACAAAATTATTTGTTGGAAAAGAAAATCAAAACAATTCGAAGCTGTAATAATTTTGAAATCTTGCATAATATTTTACAATATGGATCAAAGAATGGGTTAAATGATAACATCTCAATCTTAAATGAAGGTTGGAATGTTTTGAAAATAATACCTCCTTTACATATATATTGCATACATAAAATGTTATTGCATAAGATCTATATATAAATAACTATTTCTGATCATCAAAGATTTCCATCATCCATCATTTTATGCATGTTCCGTACTATAACCTCCATATGATCCCTATATTTTCCACTCGAATCAAAGATCTGATCCATAAGTTCCTCACAGTTGAAGAAGTTGAATACTGCGTCAGCGCGTACTTTCGATTTGTCTGTTAGATGTCTACTGATCACACTTTGTAGCAACTGTCTACATTCTTCTAAACTGGTTTTCAGGAAGGCTTTATCGTATGTAAAGTCGACTTCATGGAAGCTCACCATAGTCATAGATAGTGAATGAAACTTAGATTTAAATGTTTCCACAGTTTTTAACTCCTCTGCATTGAATTGATCATTCCTGTATAGAATACCAACTTTTATAACTGTTTTAATGATATATTTCATGATCTTCTTAGCCTCTTCCTTATTTTTGAAGTCTTTAATTATAAGAAATGCTTTGTCCAAGACTTCACTTGTTGTATCGTCAATGAAGTGTTTGGCAATTTTTTTGTTGGACATTTTTCCAAGAAGCTTTTTTTGTAGACTGAGTCCCAGTCCTTTGGAGTCAAACCCTGCTCCTGGTTCAGCCACTGAAATAAAAAAAAAAAACATTTACATATAAGTCAGTACATGTCTTCATTTGAAAATTAAAATGAAATTTTCTTCGTAATGTTTTTCTACACTACACACAAGGTGATTACTGGTGTTTTAAGGTGACAACACTCTGTGAACATATAATATAATACTTATGGAATATACAGACAAACACTTTCAAATTGAGTAACTAAAATCACCAGCTTTCACTGAAAAATCACTTAGTGAATTTTTCACTGAATCACCCAGTGTGCACTCAACTGTACTTGACAAAGTAGTAATTTTCTTCACCTTTCATTTTTTACTGTGGATTCATTATTATTCGTTAGATACCGATTTTTGTGGATTTCGTGAGTACAGGCCTAGGGAAACTACGAATTTAAATGTTCAATGAATTACAAATGTTCCATAAAAATATATGCTGACTAAAGCAAAACCACGAAATTAATTAACCACGAAAATGGAAGATTTCGTCAATCCACAAGAACTGGATCCCACAAAAATAAATGAATCCATAGTATTTCCAGTAGATTAAGCATTTTTCAAAAATATGTTTTCATCAGTTTTGAATTATTAATCAGGTTTGGGAAGCAAATTCAAAATTCAAAAAGTATTAAAATGAATGCTTCGAGTTGTCTTGAATTTACAGAATTTTAGCTCACTGCTAATGATCTTCAAGATGAAGAACTGCAATCAAAGAACTGTTTTTTTATCTTCAAAATCAAGAACTACAATCAAAGAACTGTTTTTTTCAAAAGTCGTTATAGACTAGCATGTAGGGTGATGTTATTCAAGGTGAACCGTTATTCAGTACAGTTCAAATAAAAACCTGAAGCAATTTTTCAGGCATTTGAAACATGACTTTTAATAATTTCTTTATACATGTACTTGAAAAGGCATATTTTCACGAAAATTTAAATAAAGTTTCCAAAGGGATGAATAAGTTAAATTAGAAAAAAAAATGATTCCATTTTCTACATATTTGTGACATTTCAAGTAAACACATTCATCTATTTCTTTGACTGTTTATATACCATGTATACAAATATCCACAGTTTAGGGAAAATAACTAATTTGGGGAACTAATTCCCATTCGATTGATTGTAACCAGTCTGTACTTACTTTTTTGCAGAATTTCTCTACCAACAGCTGCAAATAAGTTCACTGTTTCATAACTCTATATAAATTTCACTTGCTTTCTGCTAAAATAAAAAAAAAATGCTTAATTATCAAACAGAAAAACACTTCTAGCTAGCTAAAAAAATGAAAACTATCCATAATTACAACAATTAGCACTTAATGACAGTCTGAATACACATCACAGGATAAATCAATTGTTTGTCCATATTATGCTGGTGGCTGTATGTACAAAAATGTAGGTTAGGTATTGAAGCACGATATTAGATTATTGTATGATAAATATGTGACAACATATCATCTTTACACACTTAATGAAAATTTAACTATCAATTTCCTGATATTTTTATATAAGAAAATTGTGTACTGCGGAAAAACTCAAGGTATTTGCAACTTGTTGTCCTTTACAAAACAAAACTTCAATTTAAAAAAAAAAAAAAAAATGGAAGGCCCTTTAGAACTTTACTTTACAACCACATGACAACTAAAATATACTAATATATTCATGAAAAGGAAAATTAGTAACTTTCACATTTTCAAAATAATTATAGCTGAGGAAGCTGCTTCAAAAAGATAAAAAGAGCCTCTAAGAACTGAAGCATTTATTTTTTTCTGGAAAAGAGTTCCACACCACCACAGAATAAATTGTAAAATGTTATTTTGTTCCTTTAGTGTGGTGGGGGTGCAATATGGAACTCTTTGACCAATTTCACAAAAAAATCTTCAGAGAAATGATACTTATAAGTCATGAACATTTCAGTATAACTTACTATGAATATTTATCGTAAGATTTTTTGTGAAAAGAGCCCCTCATCTTTAAATGTCTTAGTTAACCTGTTCCCAAAACACTGGCATTATGTGATCTATGGTTAATTGTAAGCATTTTATATCCAGTGGCAAATATTTCATTCATATTCAGGATATAAAGTTGAGATAGAGACTCCTGGAAAAAACCCAGTTAAAAGCTATCTGAAACTTATGTTTAATAGTCAACTACATTGTGTAACAGTTTTAAAAGATTTGGTTAAGCTGTACTTCCAAAAACCTAAAAAAATGTTAGATAATAAAAAGGCATAGCAACTGAGAAATGAATGTGTACACTGCAAATATATCAAAATCTTAATCTATGTTTCATGGTCAATAATATGACAAGATTTGGATAAACAATACAGAAATTTCCGTAACATTTACAAACTTAAATGTAAAAAGCAAAATTAACTGACAATTCGATGAATAAGGGGATAGCTGAAAAATTCCAGACTCTCTGAGGAGAGGACGCTTTTAAATTCATTATAGACTATGCAAATTAAAAAAAAAATACATATCTATAATTATTTATACAAACTTATCATTTGAATTCGAGGTATAACTTTGAACACTTTTATATTGTTTCCTTCAAGCAGTTAATTTTAAAATATTTTCTATAACTATACAGTTTACTAAAAATTCAATTATGAATATTATTACCACATTTTATAATCTTAAAAATGATTACCTACATAGAAATACATTACACTTTAAAACTATTGACAGGAAATAAATCAGCCATCAATCCATCTGCTGACAAATTCTTACAATACCACAAAATAACACCTTGAGATTTATCTTTACATACAATCTTTCAAGTCTTCAATATTAAATATGCATGGAGGTTATCAGATACAAAATATACCTTGGTTAGTTTAAATCCATCATTTAAACTTCTAACTACTGAATCAAAGGTCAAATACTCCTGTGTGTAATTACAAGGACCAATTTATACACATGGGGAAATTGAAATTTCTCTTGAGATTGATAAGGAAATAATTATTTTAGTTTTTCGTACACATTTTACTACCTCGAAAAACTTTACTAATTTAATAAATATGAAACTGAGAAATAAGAAAATCACTGATTTGAATGTTTTTGATAACCGAAAATTTTATCCAAATTAGAACATCTTGAGAAAAGTCCCCCCTTTCTGGTACCCCATCCATTCACTGAACACTTACTTGAGTGAGATTTGTTGGTCAGGAAGTTTCAAACCATTGACATTTACATATATACAATAAATGTCTCATACACAGTCAGTCAGAGACATGCTTCATTATACATGTGTGTTAATTTAATCACAGGAATTCAAGCAGTAAAATACACATGTATATATTTGACATGTTCTACATTTGCCTTGAGGTGACAATCTTTACAATCGAACCAAATAATTAAGACTTTTGTTCCATTACATTGCTACTATATCTATAGGTTAAATACGGCTTGCTATGATTCAAATAAAGAAAACTGTGTAGGGATAAATTTGATGTCAAGATCGAGTCTTAAACATCTTTTCCCTTTCTTTCAATATTCACTGGCCATCAACATTTAAATTCTGAAAGGATCAAAGGGCTTTAAAACTGTGTGCCAGTGCATTTTGAGAAAACCATTTAAAGAAAAAACATCAGATGCATAATTTCCACCAAATATACCATGGGACAAGCATAACAGGACTTTTTATAAACCTATTTCAAGATAACAATTAATTTGGGTAGAAGCTTGCCCTTACAAGTTACATCGACGAGGACTATGCACTATTCAGCATGTTCAAAACTAATTCTATAACACTGTAACTTCAACTATCTAAAGCAACAAAATGTAACTCAAACACGCACATAAGCCTTTTGTAAATTTGGTGAATAGATATATTATTTAAATATATAAAAACAGATCATTTTTAGGTTATATTTAGAAGTAAAAATCAACCTCAATGTTAAAAAGCTTTAAAATGGGTCATTGATCTAGACTTGTGTGCAGGCAAGACAAAAATGGTATACTTTGCTGTACTTTTTGCCTTATCATGCCTTTTAGGAGTAAGAGCAAGAGACAGGTTTGCCCAGTCAGAATATGACCTGAAATGGTATCTTGCAGTAGACTGTTACCTAGAGAGCTAGCATGTTCAAAATATGGATAATCGTGTCAGTTTAGGACAAAAAGAACTTATATTCATATATGCATATTCTCATCCTTGATATGGTTGAAAATTACCCACTTGACGAAAAACATACTTAAATTCATAAGTACTTTAGTTAATAGTCATCTGATTCATACACAAACTTGTATTTCCAGTTTTGAAGGTCATGTGAAATTTTGGACTGATTTCTGCTTATTGTATCATGCAGTAACACATTTCCTACTTTCAATTAAAAACTAGAGTATCTAAGGAGCCTGTGTCGCTCACCTAGGTCTATGTGCATCTTCAACAATGGATACTCTCCAACCCATTGTGGACTAGAATAGAATTCATGACAAAAATTTCTTCCTTGGTGATCTGAGTTATGTCTTGTATAATTTCAAGGATATCCTGAGAATAAAAATACTGCAGGATTATTTTCTGCAAGGGTAGTCTTGCTGATCATTTTGACTTATTTAAGTTTCTATCTATCTAATATAGTTTTTTAGACTGTAGGAAACAACACAAAACTAAAGGCTCTCAAGAGCCTGTGTTGCTCACCTGTATTTACTGATGCTTTGGAAATCATGTAAAATAAGGTTAAAATCATAATTAATAGTATTAGATATTAGACATTATAATGATATCTAAGATAATAACAAATAATAAAATGCTCCACAGGGCGCAGCTTGATACGACCGCAGAGGTCGAACCCTGAACAGTTGGGGCAAGTATGGACACAACATTCAAGCTTGATACAGCTCTGAATTTGGATTGTGATTAAATATTTGACACAGCATAGGTTTCTGACACAGAATGAATGTGGTCTAAGAACTTAAAAATTTTAAATTGGACATTCACCTATTATGGTCCAATATCCAAAATCTAAATACATGGTTAGATTCAGCATATCAAAGAACCCCAAGAATTCAATTTTTGATGAAATCAAACAAAGTTTAATTTTGGACCCTTTTGATCTCAATGTGGACAAAGTTGATAACGGGGCCCAAAAATCAAAAATCTAAATACATGGTTAGATTCAGCATATCAAAGAACCCCATATATTCAATTTTTGTTGAAATCAAACAAAGTTTAATTTTGGACCCCGATTTGGACCAACTTGAAAACTGGGCCCATAATCAAAAATCTAAATACATGTTTAGATTCAGCATATCAAAGAACCCTAAAAATTCAATTTTTGTTAAAATCAAACTAAGTTTAATTTTGGACCCTTTGGACGTTTATGTAGACCAATTTGAAAACGGAACCAAAAATTAAGAATCTAAATACACGGTTAGATTCGGCATATCAAAGAACCCCAATAATTCAATTTTTGATGAAATCAAACAAAGTTTAATTTTGGTCCTTTGGACCTCAATGTGGACCAATTTAAAAATGGGGCCCAAAATCCAAAAACTTAATACACGGTTAGATTCAGCATATTAAAGAACCCCAAGAATTCAAGAATAAAACCCCATTGAAATTGATCAAGAAATAAGCAATTTATAGGAAGTATCTTCTTTTGCACAATACTGTGCAATTGAATATTTCTTGTTATTGCGCAATACTGTACAATTGACAATTTCTTGCTATTGCGCAATATTGTGCTATTGGATATTTCTTGCTATTGCGCAATACTGTGCAATTGAAGATTTCTTGCTATTGCGCAATACTGTGCAATTGAAGATTTCTTGCTATTGTGCAATACTGTGCAATTGAAAATTTCTTGCTATTGTACAATACTTATTATATAATAATTTACACATCCTGTTTGGTGTGTATCTCCTACCATATCATTATTATTTGCTTTTAAATATAAATAATCAGAAATAACCAACTTAAAATGGAAAATTTTAAAAGAAAAAAAAAGGAAAAAAAGAAGAAAAAAAAAATCCCCCCCCCCCAAATTTTTTGAACCCCCTTATGATTCATCACCCCCAAACTCAATCCCAGCCTTTCCTTTGTGGTATGGTACCTTGCAGTACAATTTCAGAGAGATCCATACACTTGAACACAAGTTATTGTCTGGAAACTAGAAAAATGCTTATTTTTGGCCTCTTTTTGGCCCCCCAATTCCTAAACGTTTCGGGGAATTACCCCCAAACTCAATTCCTTTGTGATATGGAACCTTGTAGTACAATT